CCCCAAAACCCCAAAACCCCAGAAGATAAATTTTAATGTTTAAAATTGATTTATAATCTTATTAATTATAATTGATTGGTATACGTTAATTAATAGAGAAATGAAACTTTAATAAACGAAAGATAGCAATAAAAACTAGTAAAAATCTGAAGGACCTGACTAAGAAACATAGTAAAATTGAGTAAATGCTACAAAATTACTTGAGGAATAAGTAAAATAAATTTCTGCTCAATCTAGGAAGAATACTGTGAAAGTACAACCTAGTAATAGCATTGAGGGCAGAAACGACGATTCAAGAGGTAGTATAAAATACAAAGCGATGTTCGGTAAGAATGAGCAAGCTTTGCCTTTACATCAAATTAAAAAAAGTAACTCAATTAGGACAACTAAATACACTATTTTATCTTGGGCTCCGCTATCTATACTATTTCAATTTAAGAGAGCTGCAAACATATACTTTTTGATAATCTCAGTTTTGACTTGTCTTTCATTTTCGCCAAAGAGTCCAATTTCAATGATCGGTACTTTTGCAGCTGTATTAATATTTACGATGTTTAAGGAAGCCTATGAGGTAATAAATTTCATATTTTCATTAATTAATAGGACATTCAAAGATATAAATCAGATAAGGAGTTAAACAATAAGGTAACATAGGTATTAGAAAGAAAGACAAATAATTTTAAAGAAAAAAAATGGTCCAATGTTAAGATCGGGGATATATTACTTGTGAATAAGGATATGGAATTCCCAGCTGACCTTCTGTTGTTAAACTCTTAAAAAGATATAGTATACGTGGACACTATGAATCTTGATGGAGAGACAAATCTTAAAGAGAAATATGTCTTCAATTAGGATTTTAACCTTGTTTAAATTTCAGATTTTGAAGGTTACGTATGCTGTGATATTCCTAATGAGAATTTGGATGAATGGGATGGGAATATCGTTCTAGGAAAAGATTAAATTATTAATTGCAGGTATCCATTACTTTTATATAATAATTGATTTAGTATTAAAAATTTGTTATTAAGAGGCTGCTATCTCAGAAATATAGATTATTGTATTGCTTTGGTAATTTATGTAGGACAGGAGACGAAAATCATGAAAAATGCTAAGAAACCTCCAAAAAAGGTTTCCAACATTATGAAGAAAATGAATTAAATGCTCTACACTGTTTTTGGGTTTTAATTTGTATTGATTGTGGCTTATGCATCGTTAAGTCTATATTGGCAAAATATTTACTCAAAAAAAAGCAAATACTTAGATTTAAATTCTAATGTCGATGCTAAAACCTGGATAATATAGCTGCTTACTTTCTGGGTAGCTTATTCTCATCTTATACCTATTTCCCTTTATGTGATTATTGAGATGCTTAAACTAACTTAAGCTTATCTAATAGGCAAGGATCTTAAGATGTATGATATTGAGACAGAATAATTTGGAATATGTAGAAATTCGGATTTAATTGAGGAATTAGGGCAAGTTGATTTTATCTTTAGCGACAAAACTGGAACTTTAACTTAGAATAAAATGATTTTTAAGAAATGCTCTGTTGGTAATGTAATTTATGGAGAATCCCAATAAATTGACGATCCTTAATAAGACGAATTAGTTTAATCTTCTAAAGAGAAAATCTTAAAAGAAATGTTTGATAATAAATAGTTTTCAGAACATGGCTAATAGCTAATGCAATTCTTTAGAACTTTAGCTGTGTGCCACACATGCATGGTAGAAAGAGACAAAGATAGTGGAAAATTAAAATATTCTTCATCTTCTCCTGATGAATTAGCTCTTGTTCAGGGATCAAAACAAGTTAAAATAGAATATATAGAAAGATCTTCAACTAATATCAAGATTAAGTTAAATGAAGATGAGACAGAGGAATATGAACTGTTGGTGGAGTTTCCATTCGATTCTACCAGAAAGAGAATGACTTTGATTGTTCGAAATTCATAAACAAAAATGATTACATAAATGACTAAAGGTGCAGATTCGATTATGATACCAAGAATTAACTTTGGTAAAAATGAATAAGCTTAGGTTGAGAAGGATCTTTATAAATTTGCTTGCGAAGGATTAAGAACTTTAGTATTTGGAAGCAAAATTCTATCATAAGATGATTATCTCGAATTCAAAAAGTAATATGATAATCTTAAAATATCAACTGATTCGAAAAAAGATGAGAAGCTAAATATTTTATTTGATGAAATGGAGTATGGGCTGAACTATCTAGGATCATCAGCAATAGAAGATAAATTATAAGAGGGTGTTGCAGATACTATAGATACATTAATAAACGCCAATATTAGAGTGTGGGTCTTAACAGGCGATAAGTAAGAAACTGCTATTGAAATAGGAAAAAGTTGCAAACTTATCCAATCAAATATGAAAGAAGTTGTCCTTACGAGTAAAAATAGGGATGATTTTAAGACTAGACTAAAAGGTTATTCTTCTCAGGAGTATAAATAAAAGTTAGCAATTATTATTGATGGGCCAACCCTAATTTATGCTCTTGAAGATAGTTTAACAGCTTAATAATTCTTTGCTTTTGGTATGAGAGCGAATTCGGTAATTTGCTGTAGAGTATCACCAAAATAAAAAGCAGATGTTGTGGCATTAGCCAAAAAATAGAAAAAATTCATAACTCTCTCTATTGGTGATGGTGCAAATGATGTGTCAATGATTTTAGAGGCTCATATTGGTGTTGGAATTAGAGGTAAAGAAGGCACTTAAGCTGTAAGATCTGCTGATTATGCTATAAGTTAATTCAGATTTCTTGAAAGAATCCTATTGGTTCATGGAAGATATGGATATATGAGAGTATCTAATATGATATGCTATTATTTCTACAAAAATGTAGTACTGGTATTCACTGAATTACATTTTGCATACTGGAATGGATTTTCAGGTCAAATATTCTTTGCTGACTGGCTACCAACCCTGTATAACGCATTTTTTACTTCTTGGTTATGTCTGTTTGCCCTCATGCTTGAAAGAGACGTTGATGATGAATCTTCATAGAGAAGCCCATAATTATATGCAGCAGGTCAAAAAGGACATTACTTCAATTTCAAAGTATTTTTACTATCTTTATCATTACTTTTAGATCTTTTGGAAGTGGATAGTGTTAAGTATTTTTCACGGTGGTGCAACATACTACACAATAATCTATGTAATAATTATTCAATCATAATAATCTTAAGCTAATTGATGGAGGTTTAACAAGCAATGGATAGATTTATGATCATTGGATGCATTCAACTATGGCTTTCTCTGTTATTATTAATCTTGTGACTTGCAAACTATTTTTAGAAACTAACTATTGGAACATTATCAATATGTAAATTATCAAAATTTTTACGCAAACTAATAAATTTTATAGCATAGCAGCATTCATATCACTTGCAATATATTACGGTGCTCTCTTTTTATTGAGTTATTACAAACTTTCTTAGTTAATCCAAAATGAATTGACTGGAACATTCCTCTAACTATTCTAGCCTTACTAATCAATTTATTGTCTTATAGTATTGCCTTTTGCTTTGTTAATTCCTGATGGACTTATTAAACTTACTCAGAAAATCTTCTTCCCGTCTCCTTCTGATGCTTTGATGATTAGTATAAAAAGAGATAAAAACTTTATCTAGAACAATTAATAAAGTAGTATTAAGAAGAAAAAATTGTCTACATGATAAAAATTAGATATTCTGGAAGAAATCGATAATAATGGTTAAAAATCTACTGAACAGGTGAAAAACTTGCTCAGTGATAATGCAATGGATAATGAAATTAAAAATTAATTGAATACTTCCAGTCAAAATAACAGTTTCATTAATGTCTCTCCTACTCATAAGCTTCTTGATAAAAATTCTAGTAATGAATAAAATAAAGCTAATATTTCAAAAATAATCTAACCTTCAAGACAACAACCCCTAAATTTGTCAAGCCTAAATGGATCTATTCAACTTGACATGGGTATAAAAAATGTAAGAACTATATAATACTAAAGCAATGAAAATACAGGCTTTATTGAGTCAGAAAATCCATTAAAAATTTAGCCGAATTCTAAAAAATCAAGGAATTCTTAGAAACTTATAAATAAACTAGATCCTTCAGCAAATAAGTTTGCTTAATAAAATGAAAAAAATAAGGCTATTGAAAAGAAAAATAATGATCAATCCTTTTTATTGCCACAAATAAAATAATAGTTAGTAATAAACAACTCGGCAACTTATCATTACTCAGATTCAATATCATAACCTAATGAGATAAATTATTGAATTTTTAATTTCATAACTTAATCTATTGGAATCTTTGAGTCATGGGGTTTTGGGGTTTTGGGGTTTTGGGG